ACATAAGAAGCAACAATGCCAGACAGGCAATACCTTCTTTTGAGTGGGTGGACAGGGTGGCCAAAGGGATTCCCAGATTGTAAGCCATCATAGAACTGGAAAAATGAACATCAGACCCCAATCTTATCCAAAGGAATATTGACAACTGATTACTGCTAGATGAGGAACAGCTGACCCTCCTAAAACAAAGACTTCTAGATAGGCTGACTAGATTCACCAGAAGGGCAAGTAGTGAGGAATGGCTGGGGGTGCTGACAACACATCAGACAGTAGCAGGGATATCAGACTATAAGGGCTCTAGTGGGGGGAGGGAGGCTATGGGACAGTGCTACCTGGGAAGTGAGTATAAAAATAAATAAAATTTTTAAAAATTCAAAAAAAATGAGAAGTAGGGCCAGAAGATTATTCAATGTGTGAAAATGTTTGCTGCACAAACTTGATGACCTGAGTTCAATCTCTGGACCTCATATAAACATCCAGATGGGGTGACATGCATCTGTAATCTGAACTCTATTACTGGGAATTGGAAGACAGAAAAAGGAGAATTGGTTGGAAGCTCATGGACCAGCTAGGCTGGTGTACACGGTTCAGCACAAGAAACAACAGAATCTTCCTCAAAACAAGGTGGAAAGTGAGAACAACTTCCTGGAAGCAGTCTTCTGGCCTCTACATTAGCACCATGGCACATGGGTGCTCGCACACTCTCAAAATCACATAGGCTAAAACTTACAATTAAGACTATTTATACTATAAGTTCATCAACAAATACATTTCATAAAGTAGATGAATGAAAAGAATATATGACATACAGTGAAACATTTGCATTTTAGAAGGAAAGTCAATTGATCCACTTCACAATATTGCCAAATTAAAACAAAATTCTCTCCTCAAGCAAAGGTAATAACACTAAAGCCAGAAGATAGATAATTGTAGGATTTAGTAACATCTGAATAATGGGATATTCAAACTGTCATCTTGTAAACATTTCTAAATCATTTGGGGGAAAAAGCTGTATAAATGAATGCACTACCACTGTTAGCCTTGAATGAACGGCTCCATAATGTATTTGTACGTGTGTGTGTGTGTTTGTGTTTATGTGTGTGTATGTGTGTGTGTTTGTGTTTGTGTATGTGTGTGTGTTTGTGTGTGTATGTGTGTGTATGTGTGTTTGTGTGTGTGTGTATGTGTTTGTGCATGTGTGTGTATGTGTGTGTTTGTGTGTGTATGTGTGTGTGTCTGTGTGTGTTTGTGTGTGTGTATGTATCTATATGTGGTATGTGTGGGTATATGTGTGTGTATGTGTGTTTGTATATATGCTTGTGTGTATGTGTGTGTATGTGTGTGTAT